GCTGCGCACGCGACATCAGTTGCGACGCCAACTCACCGCTAGGTCCTTGTCCCGAAAATCCAAAATATCCACGTCTAACAGGCATCGTGCCCATGAGTTGAGTAGAAATTTACAGCCATCGATGCGCTCGATCAGCAACTCATCGAGCGCCTCCATCACGACGCCAAGCAGAGAATGAGAGAATCAATTATTTTCAGGTTTGGGGTCTACAACCGCCACGACTAGTTATATCAGTACATGGAGGCATGACAAATTTCGAGTAAGTTTCAATGATCGCAACCAAATAAATTAGTCAAAGAAGTAATAGTATGTGTCCCCGACAGTAGTTGTGGTGTATGTCATGTCGATGTATTTGGGATGGTACTCTGAGCCGAAGTATGGTCTCACAGAATCGCCTCAACCTTGCGAGTTGTTGACCTAATCAATAGACGAGTAGAGCAAAATCAGGTTGGGGGCTTAGAAGACGTATTTAAGGGTCTTTTAAACGGACTAATAAATCGGCGATCAGGTATTGCGGGCGAATATGTACTCTGTCATGCACGAGTATTGCCAGTAGTAGCTTCTCATGTAGAAAGAGAAGAGCATAAAATCTTTCAGGAAGCATTGACCCGAAATCGTGCAGCTTTAGGCAGTGGGGTGGGGCCTGGACGAGTGTGCCGGGCGTGTTGCAGAATTCGAGTGCGTCAGGCGCAAGTGCGCCCAACTTTCGAATAGGACTACGTTTCCAACGTAGAGGGACGTTCATACTTGTAGCCACTAAGAAGTCCGCTACAAGCGTCGCGTATACAGAGCGTGCACTACAAGGCGCTTCGCAACGTATGCAATTTATCCAAGCGAGTGGGATGATGTAGAAGGTTGCTTACAGAGAAAATTGGGAAGGTTGCTGGAGTTTTCTTGAGAAATTGACAAGAAAAAAAAGAAAAAGAAAGAAAATGACAACAAACCCCACTTGACAACAAATCTCCCTACCATTGGAAAAGCAAGCACTACATTCCATAAGCAAAAAAACTCTAATGGTTCCGCACTTTCACACATGTTTACAAGCCTGACCGAAGTAAGACCTTTAGCTGAGCTATGAGCCAACTTTGGCAAAATGCCAGTGGGACCGCGGGCTTAAAGGGACGCGCGGGCTTTAAAGGGACGGATGCAGTTCGGGACCAGAGAACGCCATCGCGTAACCCTACCGTTCTCGTGAGCCTAGGCGAGCTATTGTCGAGAATTGCGATACTTCCTCATAGCAGCGCCATTAGATGGATAAAAGCGGGCCATCTTATCATTCAATGGCGGCACGAGGGTTCGCAGAAGGTCGCGAAGTCATTTTGGAAGGCTCTCGGACGCGATAATGTCCTTTAAACGCGAGAATCCGGGAAACTTTGGGAGCTCACCGAGACGTACATTCGATAGGCACATTCGCGGATATTCCGCAGTGGGTATTGGAAATGGGTGAAGACTTGAGGCGATTGTGCCTCCTCTTATTGAAAACGGCTCCTCTCGCTTTCATGTGACAGAAGGTCGCATGAGCGAGGCCCGCGGTTGCGGGATCTCCGCCCACTCAACTATCGTGGAATGTGTCCGTGAAAACGTAGGCTTGACTTGCATTGTTCCTGTTGTTAATAACATAATTTTTAGAAGAAAAATGTTGTTGAGTTGGATGGGCGGCATGCGGATTCAGTTTGTCTTCACATTATTCTTCATTCAAATTGCCCCGAGCTATTTCAGAGTGCAGGAAAAACTAGGCGGAATGTTCCGTGACGGACTACTGAAAGCGGCACAGACTACAGGAGCATGGATAATCACTGGTGGACTGGATTGCGGTGTCGTAAAGCACGTGGCTCGGGCGCTTGACGATGCTGGTATTTCGGCTAGGTTCGTTCTCAGCACAAGTAGGGATGCTACAATAGTGTGCTCATTAACTTGTAATTTAGAATGAGATCGAAAATAGTGACGATCGGCATCGCGCCATGGGGAGTCATCAAGCGAAAGGAGCGTCTGGTATGTTTGAATTGCACAGCCATCAACTTGAAGGCAGTTGGCACTGTAAATCCCTAAGACGAGTAGAATTAATACGCCTGGCTTGACGGAACTCCGCGACACTAAGCACCCCCCGTCCAGGCCAACCAAGGCTTCAAAATAAAAATGCTAGTAATTCTGAGCAAGAGCTAGATGCGTGGCGCTCTTTTGTAGATTTAGTCGATGCTATCCGTTTTATTCTCTGCCTCTTCAGTTGGTAACTTTTTCCTTTAGATCGCTAAAGATGCTCATGTGCAGTATGATCCACATGCGTTCGGGTCATCGCAAGGCATGGGTGTGCTTAATGATCGGCATTCGTATTTTCTTCTCGCTGATAATGGCACGAGTTCTAGGTTGGCTAAATCATTTAATACTCGAATCACTTATCAGTACTTTATTTCATAGGGGTACCATCATTCTTAAAGTGTCCTCTTGAGCAAGCGCGGCTCGCAAAAGGGCTTTTCGTCCGGAAAATTCGCCTCCGAGTGGCGTAAAACTGTGGACCATGTGAACCGCAGTTATGACCTGATCTCTTCACAGATATGGTGCTGATCTGCATCTGCGGCAAAATCTCGAGAACTATCTAGCGGGCCGAGCTGATGACGATGGTTCAAGGAAAACGCCAGTGGTCTGCGCGGTTCTAGAAGGCGGCACTAACTCGCTCACAGCTATTCACCAATATCTAACACAGTAAGTACAGCACACTTGCTTGACTGTGTCGTGTAGAATAACAGCCATATTTTCTCTATATTCCAACAAATTTAGAGAACCAAATATTCCTGTAATTGTGTGCGATGGAAGTGGACGTGCATCAGATCTGCTGGCTTTCGCTTCCAGATATCTCGACGCTGATGGGTATATCAGTTTTATGTGTTCCCATAATAAAAAAAGATTCAAGCTGTCAAATACATCGGGTCGACTGACTCCTTCCGGAATGCACCACAAACTTAGCATAAATCCTTAACGAGGAGTTATTAGATTGCGTACCCATGGAGCAGCATTTTGGAGCTATGACTTACATACAGTGCTATTCGCTGATGCCAACCAAGTTAAGCAATGTAGGGAGGAGGGCTTGATGAATATCGACGAGAAGGCATTGCGCAGCATCGCGCATTCGTGCGAAGACTACTTCTCATCGAGGGTGAATCACAGCACGTCGTTATGCAGAGAATCCGCCGTATCGTCAATGGTGTCGCAGAAGGAATGTAAAAAGCTGGAAAATTCGTAGTGCTAAGTAGAAGATAGGGACATTGAGAGGTGGGGGTGAAGATAGGGGGCATGGAAGTTGGGGGGGGTCCTAAGAGAAGAAAGTATTGGGGAAGACATGTTCCGCAAAAATTTTCTCCAACGGCAGAGCATACCCTAGTATGGAAGCGAATCAAGAGGGCCAAGTTGTAGCAACAGCAAGAACTAGTTCGACGTTCGTAGCTTTTCCAAGCCAACTCGCACTATCTCCTAGCTTCCCTTAGACCATTACTGTACCGCATTTCCCTAGAGTCAATTAGATACTGGCACGAATGGCACGCATTTGACGCTGCTTCCAACGCCTTTGTTGGCATCTCATATGTTCTTACCCACATGTCATATGCATCACGGCAGCGACGCGGCACTACCAACGGCTTACTCTGACCCATAGCCCGCATGGTTGGTTCAGATAATTTTGATCCAACGGCCTGTATACAATGCGGCCTTTACCCACTGTGAAATGCAGTCTCGTTCGCTGCGAATGATGGGGCGTGTCAGTGAAGCTGGCTTTGGCGCGCCGCCAGCCCATTCTCTACCAGTTGTTGAAGCGGATAAGTGACAAAAGCTTGTGCCAAACGACTGGTACGAATAGTATGATGCAGCACTGGCGTGGGGTGAGCCCATTCACGGTTGCACTTTCTACCAGGTCGGCTTGAACCGGCACGACGTCCTGCGAGTGGACTTTTACCGTCCTGAAACGCTGCATCGCGTTGCGTTACTACGCACTGTATGCTTTTCGGGGTCAAACGAAGTTCAAACTCCTTATACAGTCATGATCCTTGCAAATGATAAGGCGTACGACGCGGCGCTTTATGAAGCGCAGTCAGGGCGCCCCTTTCTTACCAATCAGGGCACACCATTGGTTGGGGATTTT